TATGATGTATATGATGTATATGGGTAATTATTTTTGAATTCAGACCAAAATGTTATTACGTCATATATAAAATTGTTCCGCATGCACCAAATGAGATTGTTAATGTGTCTGTAATAATCAAACGATGTTAATTGTTAGTTAATATGATTTAATACGTACCTTTTTATTAATATTCTCATTAATATTCTTATTAATATTCTTATTAATATTCTCATTAATATTCTTATTAGTATTCTTATTAATATTCTTATTAGTATTCTTATTAATATTCTTATTAATATTCTTATTAATATTATTGCAAATACGATTTTTTAAATCAGTTTTGCTTATTCAATTTGATTCACTTCAGTTTTTTTTAATATGTATTTAATTTATACATTGTTTTACTTTAACTCTTTCAATTGTAAATATTTTATCAATTGTAAATCTTTTTATCAATTGTTTTTGTCAATTGTAAATATTTTACGGTATAAATTTGTCTTAAAATTAAAGCACGTAATTATGTATTTGTATTATTCCTACGTACAAAATTGACATTAATTGACATTGTATCAACAATTAAATAAATGTCTCAGGTGACAGTCTTGACGCCTCATTCGAAGTTTAAAACTTAACCAGTCTACAAGCATCCAAGGTACTGTACGTACTGTACATTAGCTATTTTTTACAAAAGGGAAAACCTGAGGTACAAAAAGAAAACAAAATTAAAATTTGATTTACATGTTACATGTCGTTATCGATATTTGATAAGCAAATACAATGATTATCATTAATAAACATTTTAAAATTTTTAATTTTTTTTTTTTTTGATACATACGTAACGATCACCCCCATTTTAAATGTGTTGTGCATATAACTGTATAATGTGAACAATACAACAATTGTTTGAACCTCTGAAACTCCGTCTCAAAAATCCTAAAAAGTATTTTACGTCTAATCGATCGTATGACGTAATTATAACTGCCATTCCAAATTAATTCATTCATTTAAGTTATTAGCGGCGCTGTATCTTTCTTTATAAGGAAAATTTTACGTAAGAAAGTTAAATAATGACATTTAGGTTTATAAAAGGCATCAATTTGCCAAATCGACAAAATTTTCTCATGACATTATGAAGAAATTTCTCTCATGTTTATAAAGGTAACTAGCTTCTTAAGAAATACACTGCAAACGAAACTTAATCCTATAAAATGCGTTTGACCTCAGAGCCTACTTATCCCTATGTTTTTCCTATTCGAATTAATTTAATACCGGGTTCAATTTATATTGCCAATGTGACTGCGTATACTACCGGTGAATTACTGGTAAAATCATTAAAAAATCACATTGAAAATGGTTCCTCCTATAAGTTAATATATTATAATCAAGAAATATCAGATTCGGAAACGCTTGAAAATATTGGTGTAAGGGTAGGTGCATAAGGTAAAGATTTACGAGATTATGCTTATTATTGAAAAGTAAGTAATTAATTAAATTTTTTTTTAACTTTAGGAGGGTGGTTTAATAGAAGTAAAATATAATAATAACGAAGATCAAGCATTGGAAAAAATAGATGAATCCATATTAGATTTTTCATTTAAAAATTCTAAAGAGAATAATTTTATAATTTCTGTGAAAACGCAGAAAGGACAAACTATAGATTTATACGTGAGCAGCAGTGATACTGTTTATATAATTAAATTAAAAATTCAGGATAAAGAAGGGTTTCTTGCTGATAAACAGCGTATTATTTTTTCTGGCAGAGAATTGAAAGATGAACATACTTTAGAATATTATAATATTAAGAAAGAAGATACCTTGCATGTTGTTGCTAAAATTCGGTGTGAAATGTTTTATGCGACCAGTGGTCGTAAAGATTTTGATACATTACCACCGCTTACGCAATATCTGCAGGCACCCGAAAAGCTTTTACAAGGTGGCATTAATACGGGGATTTCTTGTAATTTTTGTGGTGAATTTGAATGGGAAGGTGCAAGGTTAATACCAACATAATTAAACCTAATTCCAGCATAATTCTTATCATTCGATTATGTGATTTATTAATATCTTTTTTTTTTTTTTTTATCTATTAACAGATATAAGTGTACAGAATGTCCGGATTATGACTTATGCTGTGATTGTATTATGATATCTAGTTTGCTTCATGACACACAACATGAATTTCAATTTATAAATCCCTTGGATCACGATGATGATGCATCATCTGACATTTCAAAAGATTCCATTTCATCTA